ATGTTGGATCCTGATGTTGATCCTGCTTTCACCATATCCAGGTGGTGATATTAATATTAATATCACCAATTAATCAGATATTAATCTGATCCCAATCAGATGATCAGGTAATATTTCATACAGGTGAACTAGGTTGAAGGTGGAGTCAGGAGGGGGAGCAAGGGAGAAGGTAGGCAACGCAACCTCACATGATACAGTGCAAAATTGCTTTGCTGAAATCACTGTTTCTTAAGCAAATCAATCATTTTATTATTGCGCTTTTATTTTTCAGCATCCGCTGTGTTCTACTGTTCTGAGATCCCAGATGATAAAAGGTGCAAGAGCATCCTTGGGGATTTCATTCTTTGCTGTATCACCTCTCTGACTGCACCAGTACAGAGGAAGAGTATCAAAGTTGGAAATGTAGTGTAATTCTGCAAAATAAAATAAGTGCATCTTGAATGTAGCTGTAATAAAATAACTTCTTAGAGAACAGATGTTATATAATTCATCCTATAACTTTAAGAAGAGAGATGATGGGATTTAGTGGTGACATTGTTGATATGTTCATCAACCCAACTGATCTCTGTCACCAGTCCACAAAATGTGTCATTGAGTTATCCCTTGTTCCCATCCTCAGAGTACCTCCATAATACACAGATTTCTCTGTATCTTTCATGTCACAAAAGAGTTTGCAGGTTTTTGCTGCTTCCTCAACATGCTGGGCTGTCATAAATCTTTGGAAGGCTATCTCAGGACACAGTAAGCCATTTTCTATGCTAATCCTAACTATCCTATGCCTCTACCCATGAAATGTCAAGCCACAGTTCCCATCTGCTTTCAAACACGAAAACACATTTGGGAAATCTTGCCAACTCCACCCCTAGGTAGCAGGTATAGGACCCTCTCAGAAGAATTCCTCCATGTCTACAACCTCCTAACTTCCTTTTCAGTCTTTGAGTCAGTATAATCATTTCCTCATTGGGGTTGGGAGATTGGAAGCAGAAGGAAAAATTTAGGTCTTCTTATCCTGCTTCTTTTCTAATATTTTTCATCTGTCCTTGAGTCATTTCCACTCTCCTTAATCCTTCAGCTTTTGAAACACAAAAGCCAAGAGGAAAATTCCTTTTATAATTGTTTAATTGCAATATCCCTTCCTGATATTTGGGCACAGAATTGCCAGTTGACATAATAGGAGAAAGTCCAAGAATTAAAGAAAACACATGGAAAAAAATGTTTTTAAAAGGTGACTATGTTAAATACAATCCTGACAATCTAGTTCTTTCACCTTCACAAGCCCTTCCCTCTCTGAGTATCAACTGCCACACTGTAAAATGGGGAAAATAAAAGCCATGTTGTTGGATGATTTTTAAGACTGGAGATCATGTGCATAAATATACAAACAAAATGGAAAAATCTCTAAAAAGGATAAAGAATAAAATGATTAGGATTTTTAAAAGAGGAAGAAGATAAAGCAAAGAATACTTTAAACTAATCAATTATAAATAAAAATTAACTGTAGAATTAAAACATCCTATAGAATAAAACAACAAGTAAGACTAGGAAGAATTGAATTTCAAAAAATACAATGAAAACTGTTTTAAATAAAGTATAAAAGCTATCAAGGTAACTGAAAATATGAGAAAGAAAATAAAACAGTAATAGAACATATTCTTAATAAATCACAAATAGAAAAAGAGCTGGTAGCATTGTTGCATCTTTATCAGAAGATTGGGGTTGGAGTACCCAGCCATCAAGGACAGTTTCTTAAGCTAGAGGACCTCTCCTTGCAAAGAAGCTTGGGAACCAAGAAACATGAAACACATACTAGGGCCAAGAGCAGGACATACTTAGATGGAAAGTTTTTTCTTCGCCTTCTCTGAGAGCCTTATGTCTCCAGACATGACTAGAGAGACATCAAGTTAACCCAATTGCCCTCAAATTACCTAGCTCATGTGTGGACTTCAGTCTAAGAAGGACAGAGTGTCAATACATATTCACATGCTTTGGTAAGGCCAACTGGCTAAATTTGGGGGTGGGGAGGGTGAGAGGGATGAAGATGGATTCCTTACATTCACTGCACTCAAAATTAATTTTCAGACAAATTTACATTTTAAATGTAAAAATTAAATAATAGAGAAAAATGATTTAAAAACACAGACTCTATGATTATATTACCAAATGTTAGTCTTTGCTGTTGAGCAAAATAACTAATCTCTCTGTCTCTCTGTTATTTCTTCTGTGAAATGGAGAAAAGATTCCTAAGCCATAGGGCTGAGATGAGGATTATATGATGCATAGGAAGTACTTAAAACAGTGACTGGCATTTAGTAAGTAACCAAGTGTATTCTGATGACTTAATTAAGTAGGGACATGTCACATTATTCTTTGAACTTCTAGCATCTACCATGTATATAACATATAAGGCTATTATATATTAGTATAAATCCTATATTAGTGGTATAAATAAATTGCTATGAGGGAAGCAAAAAGGATATGATCTGTTTGTACAAGAGCTCCAGAAACTGAGTAGAGAGTGAAAAGATACACTGAATTATTTTTGGGTTGTGAAGGAAATAAGGAGTATGGGGTAGAGAATGAAGGAAATAGGCAGTCAAGGATTATTTCTCTTGAATTTAAAAATGGAAAGAACTGAGGCTTGATGTTTAGCTCTGTTTTTAAAATGTGGCCCAGCTAAGTATATATGGATATAGATACGGATATGGATCTGGGACCCATGACTGCCAAGGTGTTCTTCCCAAGTTCATAGGCCAGAAGACCATAAACTAGACTCAGCCCACTAACTCCCATTTCTTACTGCTCATTATTGGAATCATTGAGAACCAAAGAGATTGAATGGAGGTAGAAAGAAAACAGAACACATGACTTTGATCAGACTTGCATCCTCTCTCCCCTTATCAGTACACCATGTCTGCAACAAATCTGTGAAGTGCTGTTATTTTATTGGTTTTTGCAGCTGGGCCATAAACTGACTAATATATAACAAAACTATTTTCCCACTCTTCAAATCTGTGTGGGAAGGAAGATGAGAGAGAGAGGAGACTTTCCAACTTCCACTTCACTTCTTATGTACTATGTCAATTTTTAGAATGAACATGTATAAGTAATATACATACATGATTATATATATACATATGACATATATGACACATATAATGACACATATATATATATGATGACAACATAAAAGATGAGTACACGGGACTTCCAAGGAAGAAGGTAGAGTATGAGGACCCTACACTCACCTCCTCCCAGAGATACACCTAGATAACACCCACATCAGTGTAAATAACCCAGAAAATGATCCAAAGATGCAGAACAGACTCTCCACAGCTAAATGTAAAGAGGTCACACCAAAAAGGGTAGGAAGGGCAGAAACAATTGGAAACTAAACTGACCCCTAGAACTAGGAGGAAGGGACATCATGGGCACCGAGGGGAGAAGAGCAGATTTCACTCCAGACATCCCAGGCACAGGGGACCTGCACTAGGAAGATGAATTCCTGTAATATTTGGCTTTGAAAACCAAAGGGATTAACTTCATGAATTCTTACAGTCAGTGTGGCTTAACATCTGGAACTTTAAAAATTGGTAGGCTCAGCTCTGGGAGAGTGGGAAGGTAATAGGAAACTGAGTCCCTGTCCTTAAAGAGTCAGCACAACAAACAACTCCACTGAGATACAGCATAGAAGTAGCAGTTTGGAAAACACCTGGGGTATAAAGGAAGGAGATTTGTTTACTAATCTCAGAAAGTATGCTGGAAGTGTAGGGATCTTTGGGAGGCTTCTCCAAGAACACAGGAGCTGGCAGATGCCATTCCCTCCCAATCCTCCCCTCACCTGCCACCCAGTCTAGATACATAGACACCTGCAGAAAACAGCACAGCACAAACACTTTCCACCTAGCCTGCTAACAGCGCATCCTGCCCCTTTGCTCTTCTGTGGACCAGCCCCCTCCAACTCAGCCTCAGCAAGAGTTTTCCAAAGCAGCTACACGTCCCCTCCCACAGCAGCCCAAACTTTGCAAACACCACATGCCCCACCCCTGAATTCTGCACACCTGCCCCCTGTAACACACCCTAGGCAAGAGTTCATCAAAGTGGCATCATAAATATGGCAGTATGCAAATCAGCCTCAACAGGGGTCAACACCACCCCAAAGTGACTCCTGCTACAGGAAGAGAGAAAGAACACCACAAACACCAGTTTGACTGTGCAGTGGGCTGGGGACAGACATCTTGGTGTGACTGCCGGCCCCATCCTCCAATGAATGTCACTCAGGGAACAAGGCAGGGAGATCACCCTGCAGTTCAGTGCTACTACAGGTATAGCAAATGCCTAGTCTGACCCAATACAAGCACAAGGCCACCCCAGAATGGCCCACTAACAACACAGGGACCAACCCCTGTTCACAATAGGCAAAAAGAGCCATCACAGATGACTGGACTGAAGGCAAACACAACTCAGCCACAATAGTAGGGTGCATGCAACACACATAGGAGACACTCTTGATGTGCCAGATTCTGGTGAACAGGGGACATTGCACTGCAGGACACTACAGGACTTCTTCATAAGGCCACTACTTTCAAGAGCAGGGGATACACCTGTCTTTGTTAACGGAGAGAATTAAATAAAATGAGGAAAGAGAGGAATATGTCCCAAGGAAAGAATAGGACAAAATCACAGCAAGAGAGCTAAACAGAGTGGAGATAACTAATAAGCCTTTTAGAGAATTTAAAGCAATGGTCATAAAGATAGTCACTGGACTTGAGAAAAGAGTGGAGGACCTCAGTGAGACCCTCAACAAAGAGATAGAAAATATCAAAAAGAACGAATCAGGGGCACCTGGGTGGCTCAGTTGGTTAGGTGGCTGCCTTCAGGTCAGCCCATGATCCCAGGGTTCTGGGATTGAGTCCCACATCAGGCTCCTTGCTCAGCAGGGAGCCTGCCTCTCCCTCTCCCTCTCCCTCTGCCTGCTGCTCCCCCTGTTTGTGCTCTATCTCTCTCTCGTAAATAAATAAAATCTTAAAAAAAAAGAACCAATCAGCAATGAGGAACTCAATAACTGAAATTTAAAATACACTAAAGAAAGCAGAAGAACAGATCAGTGACCTAGAGAACAAAGTAATGGAAAGCAATCAAGCTGAACAGGAGAAAGATAAAAGAATAATAAAAAATGTGAATAGATTAAGGGACTTCAACAACACCTTCAAGAATAAAAACATTCACATTATAGGGATCCCAGGAGGAGAAGAGAGGGGAAACAGGGCAGAACATTTATTTGAAGAAATAATAGCTGAAAACTTCCCAAATCTGAGGAAGGAAATAGATATCCAGATGCAGAAGGCATAGAGATCCCCCAACAAAATCAACCCAAAGACGTCCACACCAAGACACATAGTAAGTAAAATGGCAAGAAGTAGAGACAAAGAGAGGATTTTAAAATCAGCAAGAAAAAAGACGGTTATAAACAAGGGAAACCCCAGAAGGCTAGCATCAGATTTTTCAGCAGAAACTTTGCAGGACAGAAGAGAGAGGCCCAATATACTCATAGTGTTGAAAGACAAAAACCTGCAACCAAGAATACTCTATCCAGCAAGGCTGTCATTCAGAATAGGAGAAAGAAAGAGTTTCTCCGACAAACAAAAACTAAAGGAGTTCGTGACCACTAAACCAGTCCTACAAAATGTTAAAGTGAACTCTGAGTGGAAAGGAAAAACCACAAGGAAGAGTAAAGAAAAGGTAGGAAACACAAAAGCAGTGAATATAAATAAGTACATCTGGAAAAATCCGTCAGCGGAATCACAGATTAAAAGGATGTAAGTATGACACCATATACCTAAAACACGGTGGGGGGAGGGTAAAGAATGGGTTCATATGTAAGCAAACATCAACTCAATACAGACTGCAGAAGATATTATATACAAACATAATGGTAACAAATCAAAAACTGGTAACAGATATGCAAAAAATTGAAGAGAAAGGAATCCAAGTACATCACTAAAGAAAGCCAGCAAACCATGAGAAGAGAGCAAGAGATGAAAGGATCAGAGAACTACAAAAACAACCACAAAGCCAGTAATAAAATGGCAATAAACACATACCTATCAATAATTACTTCAATATAAATGGAATAAATATTCCAATCGAAAGATATAGGGTGACAGAATGGATAAAAAAGCAAGACCCATCTATATGCTGCCAACAAGAGACTCAGTTCAGACCTAAAGACACATGCAGACCAAATGTGAGGGAATGGAGAAATTTGTCATGCAAATGAATGTCAAAAGAAGGCCAGGGTAGCAATACTTACATAGGATAAAATAGACTGTAACAAGAGACAAAGAAGAACACCGTATAATCACAAAGGAGACAATCCAACAAGAAGACATAACAACTGTAAATATGTATGCACCAAACATGGGAGCACCCAGATACATAAAACTGTCAATAACAAACATAAAGGAACTAAATGATAAAAACACAATAAGAGTAGGGGACTTTAACACCACACTTACATCAATGGACAGATCATCCCAACAGAAAATCAACAAGGAAAGAGTGGCTTTGAATTACACTTTGGGCCAGATGGATTTAACAGGTATATCAAGAAATTCCATCCTAAAATAGCAGAATACACATTTGTTTCAAGCACACATGGATCATTCTCCAGAACAGATCACATATGAGGCCACAAAACAAGTCTCAAAAATACAGAAAGATCAAAGTCATATCATGCATCTTTTCTGACACAGTGCTATGAAACTAGAAATCAATCACAAGAAAAATCTGGAAAAACCACAAATATGTAGAGGTTAAATAACGTGCTACTAAACAATGAATGGGTCAACCAGAAAATCAAAGAAGGAATAAAAGATTACATGGAAACAAAGGAAAATGAAAACACAATGGTTGAAAATCTTTGGGATGCAGCAACAGTGGTTCTAAGAGGGAAGGTGGTAGCAATACAGGCCTACTGCAAGAAGCAAGAAAAATCTCAACGTAATCTTATACGTTCATTAAAGTTAAATGTAAAACTTTACATTTATCCCTGTTACATTTAACTTCATTAGTTTGGGCCAGTTATTGCAACACATTAACAGCTTTTTGAATTTTGACTTTGCTAATGTACTAATGTGATTCATGGATTTGATGTTATTAATTAAAACATTGAAATGACAGACAATTTAAGAGGTATATGTGCTGAAAGGTATGCACTAGGAATGTTCAAAGTAGTATTATCCATGATATTTTCAATCTAGTAACAGCCCAAATGTCTATCAGTTGTAGAATGGACAAATTAATTATGGTATATTTACAGAACGGAGGACTATACAGGAATGAAAATAAGTGAACTACACTAGAGCAATTACTTTGATGAATCTTGCAAACTCATGTTAAACAAAAGAAGCCAGACGCAAAAGAATATATACTGTATTTTTATAAAGCTAAAAAACAGATGAAACTAATTTATGATACTAGGTATCAATATACTGATTATCTTTAGGTAGGAGTTAGTGATTGAGAAAGTGTGTAAGGCAGGCCCTTGAGATGCTGATGAAGTGTTTCACTTCTAGACCTGAATGATTCCATGAATGTGTTCACCTGGTGATAATTCATCAAGCTGCACAATCGGGGTTTGTGAACTTTTCTGTACGTATCTTACATGTCAATAAAAAGTTTATTTTATTTAAAAAAAAAAACCTAATCTTAAACATAAAGGAGTTAGAAAAAGAACAAACTAAAGTCAAAACCAGCAGATGGAAGGAAATAATAAAGATTAGAGCAGAAATAAATGACAAAGAAATTAAAAAAAAATAGCTCAATGAAACCAGGAGCTGGTTCTTTGAAAAAATTGGCAAAATTGATAAACTTCTACCAGACTCTTCAAAAAGAGAAAGAAAACTCAAATAAAACCGGAAATGAAAGAGAAGAAATGACTGACACCACAGAAATACAAAAGATTGTAAGAGAATATTATGAAAAATCATATGCCAACAAATTGGACCACCTAGAAGAAATGAATAAGTTCCTAGAAACATATTAACCTACCAAAACTGAAACAGGAAGAAATAGAAAATTTGAAGAAACACATTGCCAGCAATGAAATTGAATCAGTAATCAAAAAATGGCCAACAAAAAAGTCCAGGACCAGATGGCTTAACAGACGAATTCCACCAAACATTTTTTTTTTTAAGATTTATTTATTTATTTGAGAGGGACAGCATGCAGTGGAGAGGGGCAGAGGAAGAGGGAGAGAGAGAAACTTAAGCAGATTCCCTGCTGAGCCTGGAGCCCGGAGCCCGATGTAGGGCTCAATCCCACAACCCTGGGATCACAACCTGAGTTGAAACCAAGAGTCAGATGCCCAAATTACTGTGCCACCCAGGCACCCCTCTACCAAACATTTAAAGAAGAAGTAATACCTATTCTTCTCAAACTTTTCCAAAAAATAGAACAGGAAGAAAACTTCCTAATTCATTCTATGAGGCCAGTATTACCCTAATATCAAAACCACATAAAGACACCACACAAAAAAGAGAACTAACTATAGGCCAGTATCTCTGATGAATATGAGTGCAAAATTCCACAACAAAATATTATCAAACAGAATCCAACAATACCTTAGAAAAATCATTCACCACAATCAAGTGGGATTTATTCCTGGGATGTGAAGGTGGTTCAATATTCACGAATCAATCAATGTGCTATATCACATCAATAACAGAAAGAATAAAAACCACATGATCATTTCAAGAGATGCAGAAATAGATGTAGAAAAAGCATTTGACAAAGTATAATATCCATTCATGATAAAAAAAAAATCTCAACACAGTAGGTTTAGAGAGAATAAATCTCAAAATAATAAAGGCCATATATGAAAAGCCCACAGCTAACATCATACTTAATGGGGAGAAACAGAGCTTTTCCCCTAAGGTCAGGAACAAGATAAGTATGACTACTCTCACCACTTTAATTCTACATACAAATCCTTAATTGTTTTGAATACTTGATGAGGGTTTTTTTTTTTAAGTATTCTATACCTCCAGATCTGAGAGATATTCTATTTATTTCTTTGAAATTTCCTTTTTGTTTCTTCTCTCTTTAATATTTCAATTAGTTGCCTGACATCCTTGTTGCTCCCCTTTATTTTTTTCCTGTCATAATTTCTGGGTTTTGGGGGTTTTTTTTCCCTTTATTAGATGATTTTCAAGGACTTCCATCATCATCATCATTATTATTTTATAATTTTAGAAATCATGTTTTAACTTTACAAGAATGCTTTCTTCTTTGTTCCCTTTTCATAGCATCCTGTTTCATAAAA